TCAGCTCAGGTCATGATCTCACGGTTTGTGAGTTTGAGCCCCGCGAAGTCTCTGTGCTGACAGCTCAGAGCCTGGAGCCTGTTTCAGATTCTGTGTCTCCCTCTCCCTCTGCTCCTCCCCCGCTTATGCGCTGTCTCTCTCTCTCTCTCTCTCTCAAAATTAATAAACATTAAAAAAAAAAAAAGAAAAAATGTACCAGAGGCAGATAAAGAGCTAGGTAGATGTGATCTATGCAACTCAGATTGTCATTGTTCCCTAGGCAATAATAAAATTCTTACAAAATAACAACACAGAAAAAAACCAGAAATATGTCAAGATTTGGAGTGAGGTTCAAAGAAAGAAATATTTGCAATTGAACCTCTGTCATTGGGAATTCTAGATAATGTATCTGTGTTAAGTTCTAAAGCATATACTTGTTAAATAAAATTCTTCCTTCTTCCACATGCTGTTTTCACCCTGCATTATTATTATTATTATTATTATTATTATTATTATTATGCTTCTAAAATAACATCAGCCTCAATGTATATATATCATGAAATGACCACCCAGTTATGAATATTTCTATATATCTAAGATAGAGCAAGCTTTTGGATAATTGAAATTTGTTGCATGAGTTAAACATGTTTTTGTTATTCCTTTTTGCATCATTTCTCCCTTTTTAACTCTTACCCTTACATTTTCTGATTCTTTCAGGGACACCATGTTTAAGATATCTTACCTGTTGCGATTGTAGGCAGTTATGAATTGTCATTATTACAGTGGCTGCCACTTCAATAAAACTAGGAAAAGAAAACTCTTTCCCTCTCTATCTGCTCCTATCCCATGTGTACATGCATGCGTTATCTCCCTCAAAATAAATAAATACTAAAAAAAAAAAACTAGGGGGCAAACAACAATTTCCAGTATTTCCCTAGTTGGAGGACTTGGTATTGCAAAAAACTGTGTTTGGATTAATTTTTTTTTTAATATTACTGGTGTGATAAATGCCAAAAAAAGAAGATTGCTGTACTTTACTTTGGTACTGGATTCTATTAGTCATTGTACTGTATAGAATGCCAAGTTGGGTAGATTATAGTGTCATTTTAAGGTATTGAAGTCTCCTCTTAATTGGAAGGAAGTTTCTACTTGTTTCAAAATACAAGAATTTTTCCTTTAGGCATCACACTGTTATAATTTATTTAAGTATTCAAGTGGAAATAAGAGATTTGCTTTCTTGTAATAATTTTACTCATTTCTACTTGGGATTATACTATTAACCTTGGATTGCCATGCAACAAAAATTACTGAATTAAGTGTTGAGCTACCTGAGTTTAAAGTTTGCCTCTGTCAGTTATCAGCTGTGTAATCATCAAGTCACTTCTTTGGACTGCTTTTTCAGAGCTCTAAGATGCTATAATTTCATCTTGTTTATAACACCTCTTTTTTTTTCTGGCTGGAAATTGTTTATGTTACTTGTGTTTTGTTATTTAAAATTACCACAGAAATACATCAAAGATTACCATTTGGTAATAACTATACTTAATTTAAAATGACTCTTTTGGGTAATTATAAATATATTCATTTTAAAAATAGCACTTTGCAGTGCCTGGGTGTCTCAGTCCATTAAGCATTTGACTTCAACTCAGGTCATGATCTCATTGTTCCTGAGTTCTAGCCCCTCATCTGGCTCTGTGCTAACAGCTTGGAACATGGATCCTGCTTTGGATTCTGTGTTTCCCTCTCTCTCTCTATGCCCACCCCCCACTTATGCACACGTGTGCATGTGCGCACTCCCTCTCTCTTTCTTTCTCTGCCCCCCCCCGTCAGAAATAAGTAAATAAACATTTTAAAAAATAGCACTTTAAAAAAATAGCCTGGTTGGAATCTGACTCTTGATTCCTGCTTAGGTCGTGATCTCATGGTTCGTGGAATCCAGCCCTGCATCGGGCGCTGCGCTGGAAGTTCAGAGCCTGCTTGGGATTCTGTCTCTCCCTCTCTCTGATGCTCTCTCTCTCTCTCTCAAACAATTAAATAAACTTGAAAAAAATAGCACTTTCATAAGACATATACATGGTTAAATAAGAAATTTATTGAGAAATACAACTATGCCATTGTGTGATGGTATCACCTCTTGGCTTTATGCCTTATGATATTAATTACAGTGTGGGTATGAAAAACTTGCAATTGATGCAATCATATGAGAGGTTTAAGGATTTAAAGTATTAATCAGAAATGTTAAATTATTGTATATCTTCAAAAGAATTGCAAACATGAACTTAGGACATTCACATATATATTTCAAAAATTAATTCAATGGTTAGATAATTTAAAAACCTGGTAGTAGTTGACTTCTATGCAAAAAAGAACCCCAATTACTGGTAGCAGTTTACTACTAGATAAAGAAACAAACTGAATTGCTACTTCATTACCTAAAGATGGGTTGAATGAAGAAAAATAGGGGAATGTGTGAAGGCCTTTTGGGGATTCTTAGATGTTATGGGACTCAAATGAGTAATTTCAATATTTCCCCTTTGATATTGGTTATTTGGATCACCTTATTGAAATGACCTTATTGCATAAATTATGCAAATTAAAAATAGATCAGTAGAGAAGGGAACAGTAATTTATCCTTTTTGTCAGTTGTTTTATCATTTGTATTATCTAGTATAATTATGAGTTTCAATCTACCCACTTATTTGATTAAAACAAATTTATTGAGCTTTAATGTAGTACATGTTGTATTATTTTTAATTAAGTCAAGAAAGATGAATAGGACAAGGCTTTTACCAGTTTTGTGATGAATTGTGTCAGAGGACAGAAATTAAAGCATAAAGAACAGGAATGTCACAGAAAGGAAAGATGAATATGTAAAGAGCTAGCTTCAAGGTTATAGGTGAAACCTGGATAAGTGTCAGTATTAAGGACTCTTCATACTGATGTTCTCAAACTTTAATGTGTGTATAATTTGCTTGCGGATCTTGTTAAAGGGCAGACTCTAATTCAGTATGTCGAAGTGAGCATGAATTTCGACATTTCTGGCAAGCTCCCAGGGGATGCCAGAATTTATGGGCCATGACTGATATTTTGAGGAGCAAGGCTCAGTACTGTTTTTTGGAAGTAAGAATGATTATATGTAGGTCCTACTCTTAATTATTTTATCTATCTTAAATTTTTTTATCCATGCGTTATTCAACCACTGTTTATTTAGTGCTTACTTAGTACCAGATACTTTGCTTCCTGTGTACCAGAGTTACAAAGGTGAATAATTCATTGACTCTGGCAGTAAATTCAGTCAGTAACTTCAAAGATTTTTTTCTTTTTTTGTGTATATGTGTGGAGAAAATATCTTTATTTTTGTGTGTGTTTTCCTTTTTCTTTTTTTTTAAATTTTATTTAAATCCAAGTCGGTTAACATATAGCCTAATACTAGTTTCAGAATAGAATTCAGAATAGAATTTAATGATTCATCACTTACATACAACACCCAGTGTTCATGGCAGCAAGTGCCCTCCTTAATGTGTAGGGACTGCATTTAAAGCCTTTTCCTGGATATAGTCTTTTTCTAACTTATTCCATAATGTAATTAGAACATCCTGATTAGCAGTACATATAGTTTATAAATTTACTTCCTTTGAATGACTAATTTAGTCAACGCTTGGTTATCTAGGGGTAGATTAAACAGTATCAATTGGCAATGTTATTAAATGACAGTGGACTCAGTATTATGAAGAATTGAAATGAGAGTAATTTAGGAAGACATCAATGTATTGGACATCATTTCTGTTTAGAATTATTGGTACCTGTTCTAATTTGGGAATGTTCCTTGATCTCAACAGTCAGGCAAAATAATTTGTGTGAATGGTGCCTCCATTCTCTTTTAATCTTTCTAAAGAGCTGTGGTCTGAACATAGGGATTACACATCTACAGGAGGCTGTCCTATGTGGATAAAGATTTTTAACATATTGGCCGCAAATACCATTGTATTTATATTACTTTTTTATTAAAAATTTTTTTAATGTTTATTTTTGAGAGAGAGTGTGAGCAGGGAAGGAACAGAGAGACAGACAGAATCTGAAGCAGGCTCCAGGCGCTGAGCTGGTGGCACAGAGCCCGATAATGGGCTTGAACTCATGACCTGAGCCAAAGTCAGACACTTAACCGACTGAGCCACCCAGGCACCCCATATATTATTTTTGAACATGTAGAGGTCATCTTTGTAATAGTAAATATGTTGTGAAATAATTGATGTAAACTTTCAACTAAATTCGTTTAAAGTAAGTAATTTATACCATGTTTAATTTCACCTAGGATTTGGGGACATCTGAGATCTTTTACTCCCACTTTTTTTATGACAGTTAGAAATTCTTTTTTTTTTTTTTAAATTTTCTTTTTTTTGAACGTTTATTTATTTTTGGGACAGAGAGACAGAGCATGAACGGGGGAGGGGCAGAGAGAGAGGGAGGCACAGAATCGGAAACAGGCTCCAGGCTCTGAGCCATCAGCCCAGAGGCTGACGCGGGGCTTCAACTCACGGACCGCGAGATCGTGACCTGGCTGAAGTCGGACGCTTAACCGACTGCGCCACCCAGGCGCCCCAGAAATTCTTTATATTATACAAACATGTATGTACACACATGAGAATACTAGAAGTAGGAGGAGTCCAGGTGTAGCATTTCAGCTATAGAAGCATATAAGTTACGAAAATTGAAATGCTCTAGATAAATCATAATTGTGTGACATGTATAAAGTGTTGAAAAAAATCATTCTGATTTTGGAGAACTTATTTTTCCTATCAGAAAGTTGTGTAATTTAAAAGTAAAGAACTTGTAAAGTACATTTGTTATGTTTTTATCTCTCATAGATAAATTGTTAACAAAATATTGCTAGAGGAATACAGTATTAATTAGAAATACTAATTTTCCAAGTCCTTAACTTAAGCAGTAACATTTAACAGAGAGTATTTTTTATTATTATTAATTAAACATTAGATATTTCTGTGGCATCTTTTTTTTCTTAGAGAACCAGAGGACGGAAGCGAAGCTTCATTCCTGAGGAAGAAAAACATGAGGTTGGAATAAGTTAAGCATTTTTTACACAGTCTAAACTTTGAAAAACTTTCTTGCTTAAATTATTTCTTTTTTCCTCATATCCAGATTTTGTTTTATGTTTTGTTTTCTTTTGTTTTCCCTTGTATGGCAGGAAAGAATTCCTAGAGAGAGAAGGCAAAGGCAGTCTGTGTTACAAAAGAAGCCTAAGGCTGAAGATTTGCGAACTGAATGTGCAACTTGCAAGGGAACTGGAGACAATGAAAATCTTGTCAGGTAAATGGGATGCTGAGACTTTGTCTTCAGGGCATTAAGGTTCCATCTTCATCATTTCCTCATCACAGATATAATGGGGGAAAAATCACAGTATAGGGCTTTCTTAAAATCTTATTTAGTGGAAACTGTAGTTCAGAAACATTTCATTCTCTTACTAACCTGCCACACATGGTTATTTTCTGGATTGAGATGTAATTAAGAGTTCAAAACCTGGATTTTGAACACAAGAAACAATTTTCTCTTGACAAGAGCACTTGACACAATGCTCTGTATATAGAGGCCACAAAAACAATTTGATTTAAACACTTAATACTAAGATTATTACTTTATCTCATAAAATAGCAAAATTACTAAGTTGTTACATATTATAAAAGTTGAAATTTATTAGTAATAATGTTAAGACCAACACTTGTTTATTGACAAGAGCTTCATTAGCACTTCCTTACCATTTATCAAAATGAATGTGTTAAATGCTTCTCTCTTATGAAATAAAGAAAAGTGAAAAGATGGCCTAGGTAGATTTTGTTTTTTGTTTTGTTTTCTTCTTTGTTTCTTTGTTTTGATTTGGTACTTTTTTTTTGTATCAGACATAATGCTAATCAGGAATCTCAGCTGATGTTGCACAGTGGCTATTCCTGAGGGTGCAGAGACTGTTAATTTTAACCTTTTGTTTCTTTTGTTGAGATGAAGAAATTTATTTAAAACCCTAGGTGAGATGGAGGAGTAGGTGGCATGAAAGGAAACCTCATTTAAAAGAGGTATCATTCTTTCAAAGTACAGTAACAAAGAGTCTTTTGGTATGTTAAGGGAACCCTTTCTGATTTCTTTTAAAAATTGTTTTTTGATAAAACAGTATGAAATTAACTGAGGGCATAGAAATTAAGTGTTTCAAAAAGAAAAAGGTGTTGAAACATATATTAGTCCTATTAAATGATTTTAAATACTTGCTTCCAAAATGATGTCATTTGTCATTAAAAATCAAATTTCTGTTTGTTTTCATTCCTCAAAAACATGCAGTTTTAAATTTTATGAGTTTTTTTTTATTCTATCATTAAAGAAGATAAGGAGAAAATAAAAATTCCAGTGAAGAAATGCAAAGTGCTTCAACAAAGTTAAGAAGGTCTATCATATTTGGTCAGTAATTTTTGAAGTAGTACATATAAGATGTCATGAGCACTCTCCTGAAGATGAAACTCATTTAAATTTAGGGTAGAGTAGTTCCTGTATCAGAAGATACACATGAATAATTCTGATCACAATATAATTTTCTGATTTATGTGAATAAAGAAATCCCAAGCATAAGCATAACATGATGGAGTGCATAAAACTGTAAAAATAAATAAAAGGAAAAAAATCCCATAAAACAGTCTTATATAATGAATAAAAATTCAGTCTAGAGCAAATCCTCTTGGGGTTGAGGGTTGTATTGTGGGATATAATCAATTTGAAACAATAGTTTAAAACATAGAGAGCTGGTTATTCTGTTTTTAATTATTTGAACCTATGTCAATATCAACCCTCTTATTTATTTTTTTCAAGATAGTTGATTCATGACATTTTTGCTGTAGGACCTATACACTTTTACAGGTTTCTATTTATTTTATTTGCTTGGTCATGTGTTTGAAAGAACCTAGGCTATATGTTGAATTTTTAGTTTAAAAACCACTTTATAGCAAGAGCAAGTCCAACACATCATATTATATTGTCTTAAAAAAAAGTAGGCACCATCTTCCTTCATTTATAGCTGAAATTTTTAAAATAGTATTAGGCTTTCCTATCACTTATTTAATTAGTTTCTCCTATAAAATTTCCTTTCCTAATTGCATTATTATAACTTGCCAGAGTCTGGGATTTGGTGGAAAGTCTCCTGGAAGGTAAAGATATTTTTGTTACTCTAGAAATAATGAATATACAAAGTCTTCTTCCTTGATTTTGCCTTGTTAAGAAGATAACATCACAGATTTTCTGCAGAGGTTTTAAAGAGGTAATGAAGAGGGAATTAAATGTTTTATAAATATTACATAGTAATGTTTTTGAGGACAAAATAAGCTGGATATAAAGCAGTGCCATAAAATGTTTTATGGTTATAGTGTGAATCTTCTGTAAAAAAGAAATACATATTCAATTTAAGCACTGTTGCTCTTGAGTTAAAGAAGAATTTTATTTTATGTAGAATTTCATGTGTTTTTTAAAAAGATAATCGTATAAGCTATTATCTGCCATTTCCCTTAACATCTCTTTTATTTTGTAATTGGCACCATTATTGTTTGCAAATCATTCCCACAAAGGTTCACCCTTTTATGATTAAGTTGCATCTTAAATATTGTGTACACATGCTATTTTTTAACTTTAATTTTAAGACATTTTAAATGAAACTTTATTTTTCCCAAAGATATATTTCAGTGCTTAGTCAGAGATACATTAAACTTATTATGTCTGTTAGGTTCTCTTATAAAATTAAACTTCTTGGGTGGTAATTTAATTAATAGTCTTTTGCTGAATATATTTTCTCAAGTTCCTTTGAACTAATGTATATGACTCACTAGAACCTGCTGTTTAGCAGCTTTGATTTTGAAACCACACTTCTCTATGTAATTCAGGCTATATAAAAAATTCTTTTCTAATTATTTTCTTGCTTTTTCAGTTATTGTATATGTGTATATGTGAATTCACATGTGGAATTTTTTAATATCATTGGAAATTGAGTTCAGTTAATCAGTTAACTGTAATATTAGTTTCCAACTGTTATTTTCAGTTTGCCTCTAAGTTTTTCTCAGGTCTTTGACAAGTAATTTACCATTTCTGTGTCTCGGTTTTTTCCCTCTATTGTACATGATCAAAATTATACTCTTTTCCATTAGGGACTTATATAAATAACTACTGAGCGATCATATTTTTTCCATATAAAATAGTAGGGTAGTGGTATTATTTAGTAATACAAAGGATACATATATGTGGGCTCTGAAATAAGGGTTCCAGTTGGTAAATATGTTGTGGTAATAATACATGCTTATTTTTTGCTTTTCAGAAAATGTGCACGTCCTGTTTTTGTATCTAATTATTTCTAGAATATGGGGGACAGAAAACTTGAATTTGTTGAAACATGTTCTCTAAAATAATTAGACTGAACTATTTGCACTAGACGTGAAGAATCTGAAAATGATCAAAGTCTTAAAGAGAAGGATGGTTTATAGTATCTTACAAATTTTTTAAAAATACTGCTTCCTTTTTGCCATTTGCTTTTAACATTTAATTAAAAATTATGTGGGAAGTTTCCAATTAAAATGTTTTTTTTTTTTATGCTACTGAGGGCTAAAGACCAAAATGAAATTCTGTGTTGAAATTGTGAAGTCTTTTTAGGCATTTATCTCTTTGTAATGGATGTTCTTTGTTCTAGGTAGTTATGGCCCATGCAGTGATCTAGTCTTTGTTTTTGTTTCCACATTTCTGGCACATTTAATACTCAGTAAATGCTTGGTAAATGAATGACTACTTCATAATAACTAATGACTGATTATTCTTTGCTGAATTAATTAAAAAAATGTATACTGTTACAATTTATTCCTAGAACAAATTCGTCATTAAATAGAAGTATTTGGTGAAAATATTTAAAAGCCTTAATAAAGGAGGATTGCTTTTATGTCATTAAAGAATAGGGGATTATTTGTTTCTGTGTATTAGGGAAGGAAATAGGAACTACAGACTTGAGATTAGTTAGTTGATGCATCAGTGTAATAATAGAAATGAACTGATCCCTCTTCGTGATCATACTTGACTTGCAAAAGATAGATTTTTAGATACAGGTGGGCCTTTCTTCTAAGTCTTCATTAAACTATCAAATTAAGAGTAAGACCAAACTTTTAGACCTCAAATTTTACTTTAACTGTGCAAACTCAGTGTGACACATTTTATTACTTAATGGGAGATAGGAGAGAGGAAAAAGGTTTCTAAACTAAGAACCCTAGAATCCATTGTTGCCTTGAATAGCATCTTTAATTTTATCTTGTATTGTTGCTATTACTCAGACACATTGAGTGTAGGAAATGATCTATGAAGCTATTTCACTTTTATAGCTATGTCCACACTATTAAACGCTTATTACTATATTCTCCTTGAGTATATGGCAAATTACATAGATATTTAACCATTTTAGTTATGAGATGAGGATGTCTGTTTGGTCTCTTAACAATATTATTAGCACTTTTATTTAGTTCCCATTTTAAACATCTGGATTCTGAGTGTTCCCCCCGAAATTAAATTTAATTGTATCATAAGCTGTTGGAACACCAGCAAGAATTTATATTTATCAGATTTGTATTCCAAATATTAGTCTTTGATTACTCAGATGTTTTTAAATTACCTGTTTTGTTCTAACATAGATGGAGGCTTATTAGATTGCCTGTGTCATAGTTGAGAAGGTGTTTTCTCGTAGAGATTTTATTAGACTGGAGAGTAAAGCTAAGATTAGTTATAACTTCAGTTACTATATCCATAGGACATTGGTTTGCTAAAAATGGATTGTTTTAAATTACTTAAAAAAATAAAACCTGGTGTTATTTTTTAAGAACAGTTGAGATTACAGCTGATAGATTTCTTAAAACAATTAGCATGTATTATTTTATTTTGATTACATACTTGTTAGTTTATTTCTTGTGCAATTTATCACATAATAATCATTCTTAATGATAAAATTTGCATACTCATGTAGGAGTTTCATGATTGTAAGTGATGGTGTAAATATATATAATTTGGCTACTTATGAATTAAAACTTAGAAACAACTACAAGTTTTAAAATGATTTGTGTCTTCTAATAAATTTCAAATGTTGTAAAAACAGACATTCCTGTACAAAGACATTTCTGTACAAGCTTCTGTTTTTATTCTTTGCCTCTATCAGCAATTACAAGGATAAGTTTTAGGTTTTTGTTTTACTTGTTTTGTCTTGTATTCCTGAGTCAGTGGTTAGTACCACTGAATTACTGTATTCTAAAGGACTATTTCTAAAACTTGGATTTTAATATTTCTTTTCAGTTATATGTGGTAAAATGTATCCTCTCGTGTCACCCTGACAGCCTTTGTGTTATACCGCTTTCTTCAAGTTTGGCTGTTACTCTCTCTGGTGTATATTTAACTTGGCTTTTCACTCTTGAAAGTATAACCATCTTGAAGGCATAGTCTCTGTTTCACTTACCCTCATAAACCTTTATGTTCTCGCTCCAAGTTACTGAACACCAACCCCCACCCTCACCAACCATGATGGTTAGTAGCTGACACACTTCATAGGAAGGTGTATTATGGAATCATTGCCAGGATATTAAATCTGACTAATTGTTATGTTAGATTTAATATAAAAGACAAAGAGCAGCATACAAAGATTTCTCAGAAGACATATGGACTTCCTGTGCTCTTGGCTTGAAGAAATAATGCTGCCTAACTCCTTTAACAGGGTTCACATCAAAAGAGAAGAAAAATCTGGCATTCTAAATCCAAACTGATGAAGCTTTAGGAA